TTGTACAGAACTGCAACAAAGCTACCAAATGCACAATGCTTCCAAATTGAAGATTAAGGCCAATTAGAGGAGATGTTCTTTAACTCTATTGTGCAAATTATCCAATCAGAAGCTGCTATCTATTTGCAGGATTAGTCAAAATAGTCAAAATTGCGCAATCGTTAGTCAAAAATGGTCTGACCAATCAACATGCCTGTAATGTGTAATCTGAGCAAATTTGACCAATCATATCACATGAACTAAAACGCAGAATAGTCAATTGCCATTTGAATACTGCTTATTTGACTAATCGTTTGACTAATCAATCGCTGGCTCAATGTGCAAAAACTGATCGAAGTTTATATGCTGGAGTGTGATAGAGTTTTGATTGCGTGATCAGAAATGAAGAGAAGTGTTTGCGCTGAGGAAAAATTCAAAAACCTTAATCCAAATTTTTTTATATGCCTTTTTTTACGTTAGTCGCGTGACTAATCTGACTACCCCTAAATCCGCCCCTGTGTTAAATCTCTAAAGACTTGCGCTGTGGAGTCCCACAAGATCAGTTTTCGGCCCTATACTATATTTACTATATACACTTCACCCCTCGGTGATATCATTCGCGGTCATGGTCTTGATGTTCACTTTTACGCAGGTGACTCACAATTATATCTCATTTTTTAGTCAACCACTGGGGGAAATTGGGAGCACTGTTAAAATTAAAATGTGTGTGAAAGAGATTGATTTGTGGATGGTCAAAACTAAATTGAAATTGAATGGGGACAAGTCTGAGCTATTTGTGATCAATGCACGAAATCGTTTATACCCTGCTGTAGAATATATAGAAGTATCTAGTTCACCAAAGTACAATCAAATTTAACCTATAGTAGTATCGAATTCAACCAAGTATTTCAGCACGAAACATTGGTGTAACTTTCGATCAACACATGTCTATGGAAAAACATGTTACCAATATTTGCAAGAACTGTTTTTTCCATTTGAGAAAAGTAGCAAGAATAAAAGAGTACTTATCAACGTCACATATCCAAACTTTAGTTCATGCCTTTATTACATCGAAACTGGATAATTGTAATTCTTTATTATACGGATTGCATGCCTAAATTTCTTATTGATCGGTTACAGAATATGCAAAACTGTGCTGCTCGACTGGTGACAGGAAGCAAAAAATATAATCATATTACTCCATTAATGAAACAATTAGTACATTGGCTCCCCATCAGTCAACGCATCATCTATAAAATTGCAATTGTTCTTATTACGTATAAATCTTTGGATGGTTCAGCTCTACATTACATTAATAATATGCTGAAACCTTACACACCATCAGCAAATGTACTCTCCTCATCCAAAGAATTGCTTACCATACCCTCAGTAAAACTAGTGAACTATTGTGAACTATGCTGCACCGAAACTGTGGAACAAATTACAGTACTAGAGTATATTAGAAAGAGTGAGACCTTGCCTATTTTTAAAACCAGATTAAAGACACATATTCTTAAACAGTATTATGACTAACTTATTATTTTAACAAGAGTATTAGCAATTTTATAGTACTTTTATATAGTTGTTGTTTTAATATTATAATAGTTTTGTGTGTGGAAACACTACGTAAATTTATGACTGCAAAGCTTTCGATCCGTAAGCCGGGATTTCATCAGTGCTAATAATATTAGCTTTGCAGTAATAAATTTAAGTAGTGTTTCCACAAACAAAACTATTATATGTTTTATCGCCATGCAAACATACAAAGAACTGTTTTAATATTGTCAACATACATGATATAAAGTAATTTTATATTCTTAACGAAAAGAGCATATAATTAACTTTTTAGTAATTTTATAGTATAGTAATTTTAGTAGTTAAAGAAGCCCTACAGTCATTTTTTAGTCGAAAAGCCACCTTAGGTATTGTTTACATTTTTTGTCATTGTCGCTACTTTACATGCGCACCACGGCATGCATGCTCATGGTTACTGCAAGTAAGATACAGCCAAACGAACCTCCCTGGCATCCCCTACTTAAGGTGGATTTTCGACTAAAAATGACTGTAGGGCCCCTTTAACGGTTGTGTTAAAGAAGCTTTACAACATGAAAATATAATAAATAAGCATGGAAGTTTTGCTACTTTCGAAATAGTGAAAGACCACCTTTTAATTAATAATTCTACTAATTGAGCCTTCTAACGCCAGAAAGAAAAAATCGATTCCACTCTGTAACGCACAGCATGCAAGTGTTTATAGAGTTGGTCAATATATATGTGGTCAACTTGAAGTTTGAACCACAATGCCCGCGGTCATGGCAAAATAGAAGATTTTCAATAGCTGTTTTATTTTAGTCCGCTGCTTCGCTCGCTCCTGAGATTACGCATGATAATCTTTACAGCTAACCTGAAACATTTCTGTTATACATTCAGGGCATTTTCTCCGAAGAACTTGTGTAACATATAATAATATATTATAGTTTGCGAGGCACGTCGGTCGAGATTATTCCAACTTAATTTACAAATAACGTCTTCGTACGTATCGCCAGTTACATAAGTCTTGCTGCTCCATGATAATTTTGTTCTGCTTATGAAACGTCTGCATGCTCGAAAGTTGAGATGATCTGCATTGTCCATACAGCCTGTATCTCTAAAGGCCTGTTGTTTTCTTGAGACTTTCAGCCTTGTTTAGCTATATGATTTGGCCGTTTTATTTAACGGGCTACCATTAATCTGAGGACAGCAAACTTATTTTATTGGCGAGAAAATAGTTACAAGCGGTGCGGTCAATTCACTATCTTTAAAGCAAAAATTAGACGATGTGAATTAACGGTCAACTGCGAACACTATGGAGTTGAATGCCGAGAATGCATAATCAACGATATCAATCACTGCTTCAACCCTTACTTATTAATAGTCAACAGTAGCTAGCTTGCAATGTACCATTCCCAAATTAACCAAAATTTTGATCTCAACAAATGTAGACAAAATTCCATCATAGCATGAAAGAGCATCACAAAATTAGTAATATTCCGAAGTTTCGTTGCGAAATGTTGTAAAATGTGGATAATATATAGCCTTGCGAAATTTTCAATTTTCAGTCATATTAGATTACAAACCGGAAATAGTTACCACTTTTCCAAAATTTTGATCTTAATGACAGTAGCGTAAACAAAAAAAAATTCATCACAGCTTGAAAGAACATCACAAAATTAGTAATATTCCAAAGTTTCCTTGCAAAATGTTATATAAAATGCGGATAATATAGCTTGCGAAGTTTGTAATTTTTAGTCATTTTGTATTAAGTACAGAAGTGGTAACCATTTCCCGTTTGTAATCTAAAATGACTGGAAAATTGCAAACTTCGCAAGGCTTTATTATCCGCATTTTACAACATTTTGCAACGAAACATTGGAATATTATACTAATTTTGTGATGCTCTTTCAAGCTGTGATAAAATTTTTGTCTAGACTTGTTGAGTTCAAAATTTTGGTAAATTAGGAAATAGTCCATTAAAACGGTTAAATCCATAAAGCCCCTGGGTGTATACTCAACCTCTGATCTTGAATGTTATTACATCAAGTCAGATGCAGTCACATGTATCAACCACATTTTGCTGTAAGGTATGCAAGTAAGCGTTTGATTGCACTGACCCTACTCCATCAAAACAAGATCTTCGGAAAGTATACTGCAGTTTTGTCCGAACAGTTCTCATTCAATTTTAGAACCATCCTCAGAGATACGAAAAACTAGTTTCATATTAATCTGAAACTAGTTTAATATTAAACTAGTTCTCATTCTAGTGACATTCTTTTTTATCCAAATTTCTCAGCGAAAAAATTGAACCCATCAATCGAAACGTGCATTGGAATTTTTTTGACAAATTTAACCTATGATGACTGCTTGCATGAGAAATTTTAAACTACTCAAAAAAGGAGGGAATTTTTGGGCAAAGATCTTTATATAGAATACAGTGATAACACTAACTAAATACTTTCCAACTTGGAGTTTTAATATTTTAGCTACAATTGATGTAATTCGTAGCTAATTTTAAAAATATTTAAAAAATCATATCTAATTTGTATATTTTAAATATTTTACCATGTAACTTAAGTTTTTCAGTTAGCCTTTGTGTGCAAACTTCTATTCAGGTGTTCAATAAGTGTACTCCATTTTGTTAAATTGCCCGTTTCTTTCTATAAACGAAATAAGAAAAATAGAACGGACTGGAATGAATGTTCCTACGCTAACGTGTCTCTTTCGTTTTCATGCTTGTGGTTAAATTCGGGTTCTATTCACAATACTAATTAAAAGGAACATGAAGTTTAGAACATGGAAATACGTTCGACAGAACTTGACTAGAAGTATATGTCATGCATTATCAATGAAACACTTTCGAGGCATACGCTATAAGATTAGGGCAACACTCTTCATGGGTTTTATCAGTTTTCCAATTAGCGGGGACAAGGCGGAATAGAAGGATCGACCTATCGCACTCTGAAAATTAATCCCGTGTATCGCCGTTCCACCCTATTTGTTTGCGCCGGATCAATCGTCATTCCAATACTTTCTTATGCTGAGAGCGAGCCGAGAATGTATGTGTATGTGTGTGTGTGTGTGTGTGTGTGTGTGTGTGTGTGTGGTGGGTGTGGTGTGTGTGTGGTGGGTGGTGGTGGTAGGTGTGTGTGTGGTAAAAAGCGGTAGTAGGTAGCGCGTGTGAAAACGAAAAGTTTTTAGACCAGAATTATTGGAGCAGAAAAATATCCAGGATTTACATCTACATTATTGAGCAACGATCAGGAAATCGGTTACCGATCGGTACCTGCATGGTGTCTATATATAATTGTTGAAACTATATATAGTTCAGTGCGATTCAGTCATATCGCATGTTGCAACTCTAATACAAAAAAAAAATCGCGCGGGAGGCGCAGCAATGATATCCGTACGTTGTTCTGTGAAAAGCTATTCTTGTTAAACGGCAATCTATTTTTATTTCAGAAGGGCCGTTTGGAACTGTCACTGTCATGTTGAAGAAAGGAGACATAACCATAGGCGAGGGTGATGCAATTATCAATGTCTTACCTGACAGTCTTAAACTAGTGGACGGTGGCGGAGTATGTAAAAGCATATTAAAATGTGGTGGCAACGTTGTTCAACAAGAAATCGATCTCAGAAGAAGAGAAGCTGCAAGATTCATTCCAGGAGCTATATTTCACACATCTGCAGGGTCCATCAAGAATGTCAAGAATATTATACATTTTGTACCAAGTGAATTTGATGTTTCAGCTCTCCAAGGGGACATAGAAAATTGTCTTCGCTTGGCACAAAAATGTTCTTTCCGTTGTATCTTGATCCCAGCTATAGGCACTGCAAATTTTGGGTTCTCCCCAGAAGATTCAGCTAACACAATTTTGAATGCAGCAACGAATTACTCAATCACCAGCAACCATCGTTTAACCCTGATCATCGTGGTTTATCAGGAAGAAATGTTGCCAAATTTCAAGATGGTTTTGGAAGACAAAATGAAATATGCATTGGGTACGATGGAGAGAACAAGATGTTTCAAGAAGCTGCACAGTTCGAGAATGGCAGTTAAACTGCATGCAAATTCCAAATTGAAAACTTTATGCAACTGATGGGAAAATTATTTGAAAAGCAAATTTTAAGTGCAGGAGATCTAGAATTGTTTTTAATAATCACTTTAAAAAGAGCTTGCGCACAAAATGGAAGAAGGTTGAATGAATTTTATGAACTATGAAAGTACCAGACAATTTGATGTACAAAAACACAAATTTTACAAACGTCGTTTGAAAGAATTAGCAAGTTGTAAAGATTAGAATAGCATTGAACCTAAAATTGCTGCGATTGGTGCTTATACATACAATGACAGCGTTGAAAAAACCAATTCGGCACAGCACGAACCATTCGCATGATCTGAGCGGCAACGGAACCAATAATTGATAGGAATACAGTGTATTTGGACCTTATGAATTCAAATTACGTTTTAAATATCCCATTGCTGTGCCGAAGCCATTTTTAGAGCGTTTATTTAAAACAACCCTCTTGCGTTCGAAATGTTACCTTTCAAAATAACTTTAGCAGTAAAATTACCAGCTGACTACAAATTACCCATGCTTACAGTTTTCACAAATTTTGCAGAATCTGCAGTTTAGCGGACATTTTCGAACTGTGCAGTCATATTTATACAACCTGTATAGAGTACATATCGGGTTTTGTTGCGCATTCTACATTTGGCGCCCCATTTGGAATTTTCTTATCAACAATATGCGAAATTTTCGGCTTCGTAAGCTTACTTGTTTCCAACTGTTTTCTAATTGTCCCTCTCTTTTCTTTATAGTTGACATACCTTCAAACTGGGCTGAGCAACCAAACGGAAAGGTAGTACACCTTGTTAACTTACCACAATCATCAGACGAATACAGAGAAAACTTAAAGCTTTTCAACAACGGAAATAGCGTCTATGAAGTGACAAAAATTGAAAGAATTCAAAATCCTGGTCTTTACAGAGCATACATTGTGAAGAGGCAGTCAATGGCTGGCAAAGTAAACGAGAGAAGACTATTTCATGGCACAAATGCCACAAATATTGATAAAATCAATACTAATAACTTCAGCAGAAGCTTTGCGGGAGAGAATGGTAAGTTCATGCTGTTGAGTTCTTAAAGTGCTTATGAAACGAAATTTTCGATCATGAGTTTTTTATTGATTTTAATAGTTCTTGAGAAGTTGAATGCGATGAG